CTATAAATACGTTAGTTTTATCATGCGTAAAGGAGAGAATTTTGATGAATGAAATATGAGTGTTTATGCTTTTTATTTTTCTAAGTTTTGGTATTCTTTGTGAATCAACGAATCTTGAGGTCAATTTATGGTATTATATGTGAATCAACAGATTTTAAAATAGTTTTTCTGACATTCTGTATGAATCAATAGACTAATTAATTTATCCCTCTTATTTTTATTTTTTCAATTTTTTCTAATCAAGCTTCTGCTCATCGCCAACCCATTTCTGTGACGTATTATTATCCCCGTCCAATTATACGATGCATGTGTTCAAAATTGTCACTGCTATAGCTAGAATACAAGAGCTTTCATAATTTATACATTATATATATAATATATATATTCCCAAAAAAAATTAGCATGTCACCAAAATTTAATTGTTTTACATTTATATCATCTAATTTCTCGTTATCTATATTGATTTTGATAGTCTTTTAAAATACTAAGAATGGAGCCAAAAATAATAGGCGCGTTTAGAACTCGTTCTGAAATGATTTTATTTTTTCTATGAAAATAAAAATAAAAACGTTTTTAATCTCATACATAATTCATTTTTGAAAATGCTTTCGGTAGTTTTATCAAGAGATTGTTTTCAGTATAACAAATCTATTAATGTCTCTCTCTCTCTCTGCTCGAGAGAGGAGAAAACGAAAACAAAAAATGAAAACGACTAAAAGTCATTTTTTATTTCTCTCTCATTTTATACTAAACAAAAAAATTGTTTTCATTTCTATTTTTTATTTTTATTGCGCCAAACGCCGTTTTGAAAACGTTTTCATTTTTTTCTCTTGAAAAACGAGATTAATTCCAAACATGGCCAATAATATGTTAAGATGTTAAAAGTATACTGTTAAGATATTTTCTGGTGATTGAGTAATATAAATGTTAATGTTATGTCATTAGGGGTACAAATGCAAAAATGATATATTTTAAGTGATATTTTTGTATTTTTTTCCTCAATTTTTACGCTAATTTTTGCTTTTAATGTGCATGGCAAACTCGAGCATATCATCCTCTCTAATTTTGGCAAAAGGAAGAACTACCAACCAACAATTCTTAACAAAAGCTCAACTTTATTCCACTCTACTTCATGGAGATATTAATTTTCTAAATCCAGTTTGTTCATCCCATAATGTTCTTTCGAAACACACACCATCAAAATCTCTTCTGCCTAATAAAATATGACGAAGGATTTGCATAAACATCTATATATTTATGGTCTACCATATTACATGTCTACATGTTATGGCCCAATCCAGCTATATACAATATTTCTAAAGAGAGGTCCAATAATACACCGGCTGTGATTTGTTGTCGTATCTCTTTTGCCAATCACCCACGTTAGGCCGGTAATATGGATCACGATACGACGATACGACTCAAAAATGACACGAATTTTACGGGTTAGAGTTGAGAAAAAAGATGTTCGGGTCAGAATTAGGCCGATCTGAAATTGACACGAAAAACACGGGTCAATTTTGAATTGGACCCGCCTAACCTGAATACGACACGAAACTCATAAAAAATTAAAAAATACATATATTTTTCATTGCATATTTTAAATTTTATTATGAACTTATGATATCATGTAGTTATATTCAAAATCTTATACTACTATTTGCTTACTTTCAATGGATGTTATTGTAATTTAGTGTGTTATAAATTTTAAGTTATTTTTAATATGTAAAAAACTAAATAAAAGTATACAATTTTCGTGTCAATTTCGGGTTCACGGGTTAATTTTGTGTCACGAGTTATTTTTGGGTCGTATCGTGTCAACTCGTAAAGTGGTCGTGTTGTGTTCGTGTTACGGTTTTTAAAAAATTTCGTGTCACGGATCGTGTTCGGGTTGACTATAAATTTAGAAAGAAATTATCAAAATACGACACGTGACACGAATTACCAACCCTAACCCAAATGAATAAATACAATAAAGAAGATGGCGATTGGAGCGAGAAGAAATTCAAAAGACAAAAATAGGAAGAGAAAATTCAGGATAGGATCGTCAACTGGGTATTGATTGAGATAGGCTTATCCTTCTCCTCGGGACTCCAAATTCCAAACTCTCACTCGTCACAAAAACTCAATCAACCAACAAATGATCACAAGAGAGCAAAAATGGTTCTTGAGAAAAAAAAAAAAAAGTGGGTACAAAAATAATTGAGCACAAATATGTATGGTCTTATTATATAATTGTGAACAGAAAAAGAGATCATTCAATGGTCTGTATTTATGTAGGTAACGTTTAGTTTATAATTTTAAAATTATAATTTATAATTCTAATTTTTAAAATTTTAATTTTTTTTAAATATATATTTTAAGAAATTAAGAATTATACGGATCAGAATTCTTAAAACAAACGGAGTAGTAGTAATTACGTATAGATAAACTTTAACTTTGCGTGATCCATTTAAGTTCATTCAGGATTTGACACATAGATCACGTCCATTTGGGCTTTTTCATACGTAGCATCTGTGGGAACTGCCAAGTGGGCTTCCCATAGTGGGAAAGCGTGTCAGATAGCAAAGCTTACGATGGAGCCAGTTTCAGATTACTTTTACAGCTATTTAAAGAATTTCAGCAACAATTTGCTTTTGGTAAATTTATTTTTAGTGGATTATTTCACAATTTGATGTATTAGAAGGGTTATTGACGATATATTTAAATTGATAGATGAAAATTGTTAACGATGTGATCTCTGTTCTTGTTCTTTTCATTAAATAATATTTCTTTTCATATAAAGATTTAAATTTAATATATTTTTATTATAGTATCTTCTGTTATATAAATTCACTTTTTTAATTTAAATTCTCCATTTAAACTTAAAAAAAAAAATGAGACTTATACGTGTTCATATTAAAAATTTACCGCGCATAACATAAATTCGCTCTAATCACAAGTCAAGTTGTTTACAAATAATTAAAATAACCTACCAATATTTAAGAAGACAGGAGTTGTAGGAACTCCCTCATAAGAAAGTAACATCTACAAATAATTTGTTCCATAAAACATTTTAAAAATTCACTTTAGTTTCTTCTGTCAGTGCAGAAACAGAATGATAACTTCTATAAAATACACAACATTACAAAAATGCTGCACTAAGTTTGATAAGATTCAAAGAGTGTTAATGGGTTCGGTTGGGTCATAAGTTTGATAAGATTCAAAGAGTGTTAATGGGTTCGGTTGGGTCATCATGTAAATTTGTAAAACCGAAAACTGGTCTAATTGATTTTTCAATTCAAATATGATTTAATTTCATAAAAAAGTATTTTAAAATAGTTGCAATTAATTGGAATATTATCTGATCGTTTTCGTTTTAATCTGCAGGCTTAATGGTTTGTACAACACTTGGCCTTGATAAGCTTGAGAGCTGAGTTTCCCTAGGACTAAAATCTTTTGCCTTCAATTGTCAATTTGTTCTTTTGGAGCTTCTATGATAAGATTAGAAAAAATAAATTATTAATAGTTTTTTTTTTTCATCCATCATATTCATATCAGAAGTTGTTTATTCTACATATTATTTTTAATTTAATGTGATTTTGATTTGATTTAGGGTCCGTTTAGTTCGTTGATTCGAGTTTTTAATTCGAATTGAGATGGACTTTATGTGATAGCTTTTTACTGTAGTAAAAAAGTTAAATGTGACTATTTTTAAGAGTTTTTTACTGTAGTAAAAGTCGACTTCTAAACTTAAATCGGTATAATAAATGGAGCCTTAACTGTCAACAACACTATCAGTATATCTGTCTTACCAAATAAACTCCTTTGTTTCTCATGGACCTTCTAACACTACTTCAAATCCAGTATATATTTTCAATGGAATATTTTGCCAATAAAAGAACTAATTTAGTACCAAGTTCTAAGTAAAATTTGCAACCATAGTACGTGTACGTGGTTTTTCTTCTTGGGGTTTGCAGAGAAAAATGAAGAGCTCCGTGAAGAATATGGAGAAAACACAAGCACAACAATACTAATGAATTTACATGCACAATATTCCACAACAACATTTATTGAATTTGGTTACTACAACAGCTACGTACGTGATCATATTCTAATTATGACAATTATAAAATGATGATTATTTTGTAATACCAACAACTGATTATTTAAGATAATTAGATTAACAAAATAAGAAACTAATGATTTTATAAGCACACACACACACTATATATATATATATATATATATATTTTTTTTTTTTTTAAATACATTATAACAACTTTAAAACTTTAAAGGAAATTCTTGTTAGTTTATCAATCCATCCTAAAAGCTTAAATTATGAGGAGGTGGGTCAATAATAATTTAATATTTTAACACTCCTCCTCATGTGTAGATTGGATAATAGATAATCGTGTGGGTAAATTAATTGAAAAGCTCAACACGTAAATATTTAAACTCGAAATATATTAAAGACCCAACACATGATGACAATTTAAATAGAGATAAAGAGTGTAATTACAGGGATATAAACTCAAAATTTCCTATTCTGATATTATATTAATTTACTAATCTATCATAAAAATTTAAGTTATTAGAAGGTGAGTTAACAATAATTTAATACTTTAATAGCTCTTATATGTTTAAAAATGAAGAAGAGGGAAAATAGATCAGAGAAACAAAAGCGGTTATTTATCAATCAGAAGAGTGACGTCATGCAAAATGGAAGAGGACAAGCATGGCCTCACAGGATAGTTGGAGAAGTGCCACCACCTTACGTGCCTGCAAATGCAGCTCCCGTGGAACAAGTCTCACTCTCTTTCTGAAGATAACAACGCAAGCAATATTTATTGCAAAGGAAATTAATACGTAAAAAAAGATATGGGTGTGAAAGCTACGTTGGAATTTTCTTGGTTTTTGTTTCTTCTTATCTTCATGGGAATCAGTTAGTTTTATTTTTCTTTTTTTTTTTTTCACCGTAAAATTGGTAAGGATTTCTAATCTCTTTCCCCCTCTTGTTATAAATTGATGGACGTGGGGAGAGCTCTTGTATGAACTTCTCATAGTTGTTTCTTTCTTTCAAGTAAAAAGCCTTTTTTTTTTTTTTTTTTTCTTTTTGTACCAATAACAAGTTCTAGTCATGGCTGCATCCTTCTCAGTGCCTTCAATGGTAAGCTAAACCACTATTTGAACTTCTCCTTTCATGGTTGTTTGCTTTTTCTCTTAATAAGAAGGCTGCTGATTCTTTTGAGATATATTTGTGGCAAATTACGGTCGCATGCATGCAAGCATTTCTTGGGTACTCATTGCATTTTTCTATTTTCATACATTGTTCGAGTTAAATTTCTAGGAAGTTTGCCATTTGAGGCGCTATGTTCAATCTCTCTGGTTATGGTCAACAATAGAACAAAAATTGATGAGAAATTCATGTCCAAACACACGAAACCTCTTTTCTTTAGCTAGTAGTAATTTGCATAATGCTCTGTGTGGCTTGGTGAACTTTCAGCTAAAATAGATTCTGGAGAATACAGTTCTATATTATATATATATATATATATATATATTATGTATATGAATATAGAAAAGCTGCCCAATACAGCTTGCGCCTACTTAGAAGTGCCGTTATATTACTGGATAATTATGATCACCAAATTTTATGTCTGTAAGCAGTTTGATTTATACTTTAGTGGTGATTTAATATAGATCTTTTAGTGACTCTACCCAAAAATATATACATGCAACATATATGCATGTGCACAGCATAAATCATTAAATCCATGCATGCACGCCTTTATTGCTCCGTTCAACTTAGTTTTAATTTAATTAGACTACGCAAGTAACAAACATTAGTGTTTATAGTCCGAAAAAGTTTGTTCCTTTCATGGTATTGTTTTGGTTTCCTTTTAGTATCTGAAGCCATGAACATGGAAGAAACTATTTTAAGGTCTCTTGAAGATTCAAGTCATACTAGAATTTTCTTTTGTTATTCTTGCTTTGTCTTCTGGTCTTTCGACACTTTATGGATTTGATGGATTAAGCTATCGTGAATAGATTATGGAGGAAGAAGGGAGGTTTGAGGCAGAGGTAGCGGAGGTGCAAGCCTGGTGGAACTCCGAGAGGTTCAAGCTAACCCGGCGACCGTACTCAGCTCGAGATGTCGTAGCCCTGCGAGGCAACCTCAAGCAGGGCTACGCCTCCAACGAGATGGCCAAAAAGCTCTGGCGAACCCTCAAGACTCACCAAGCCAATGGCACGGCCTCAAGGACTTTTGGTGCACTTGATCCCGTCCAAGTCACCATGATGGCCAAGCACTTGGACACTATCTACGTCTCCGGCTGGCAGTGCTCCTCCACACACACCACCACCAACGAGCCTGGCCCCGACCTTGCCGACTACCCCTACGACACCGTCCCGAACAAGGTCGAACACCTCTTCTTCGCGCAGCAATACCATGACAGGAAGCAGAGGGAGGCCCGGATGAGCATGAGCCGCGAAGAGAGAGCTCGAACGCCTTATGTCGATTACCTCAAGCCGATCATAGCTGATGGTGACACCGGGTTCGGAGCCACCACGGCAACCGTTAAGCTATGCAAGCTCTTTGTTGAGCGCGGTGCTGCTGGTGTCCACATTGAGGACCAGTCTTCGGTGACCAAGAAATGCGGTCACATGGCGGGGAAAGTGCTCGTTGCCATCAGTGAACACATCAACAGACTGGTCGCTGCGAGGCTGCAATTCGACGTCATGGGTGTTGAGACAGTTCTCGTGGCGAGAACTGACGCGGAGGCCGCGAATTTGATCCAAACCAATGTGGACACGAGGGACCACCAGTTCATTCTCGGCGCCACCAATCCGCACCTCAGAGGGAAGGGCCTGGCGACCCTTTTGGCCGAGGGGATGGCGGGGGGTAAAACCGGGGCGGAGCTACAGGGAATAGAGGACAACTGGATATCGATGGCCCAGTTGAAGACTTTCTCCGAACACGTGGTGGACTCTATCAAGAACTCCAACTACGGCGAGAACGAGAAGCGGTGGAAGCTCAACGAATGGATGAACCACTCCAGCGTCGACAAATGCCTGTCGAACGAGCAAGCCCGAGAGATCGCGGAGAAACTGGGTCTCAAAAACCTTTTCTGGGACTGGGATTTGCCCAGAACCAGAGAAGGATTCTATAGGCGAGTGTTTTCTATTAAAAAAAAAGCTTTATCAGTAAAATAACAAATGACCGCGAAAGGTCATTTTTGCTAATTTCGCTTTGTAAGGCAGTGATTTTGACAAATTTCTTTACAGGTTTAGAGGCTCAGTGGATGCAGCCATCGTCCGCGGCTGGGCATTCGCTCCTCACGCCGACCTCATATGGATGGAGACGGCGAGCCCCGACCTGGCGGAGTGCACGAAGTTCGCGGAGGGCGTGAAGTCGAAGCACCCGGAGATAATGCTGGCGTACAATCTGTCGCCGTCGTTCAACTGGGACGCGTCGGGGATGAGTGATCAGCAGATGACGGAGTTCATTCCGAGGATAGCTAAGCTGGGGTTCTGCTGGCAGTTCATTACTTTGGCTGGTTTCCATGCGGATGCGCTTGTGGTGGACACGTTTGCCAAGGACTACGCCAGGAGGGGAATGCTGGCTTATGTGGAGAGGATCCAGAGGGAGGAGAGGAACAATGGGGTTGACACTCTGGCCCATCAGAAGTGGTCTGGTGCTAATTACTATGATAGGTATCTCAAGACCGTCCAGGGTGGGATTTCCTCCACTGCTGCTATGGGCAAAGGCAAGTTTCTTTTTCCCTCTTCATTTTCATTATGTTTTAGGGGAAATATATATATATATATATATTGAAGAAATGGATTATCACATACCTATTTCAATTCCTTTATACCAACTCTATAACATATAGTTTATTTGTCTAAAGTCAGAAATTCTTAATTGCATAACAAACTTATAAGATAGAAGAAGGACAACCGACTTGTCATGTAAATTTAATAGAGTACCGAGTAAATTACTAACATTGCATTGTTAAACATGTTCTACACACAATGACACGTTGGACTTGGTAGGAGCACTTAGTGAAAAGTATTAGCGTCTAGCTACCCCACCTAAAATTTTAGATAGTTGAGGTGATTCATGTGTTTGGATTATAAGAATAACGCGTTTGAAAACAGTTTTTTTTTTTTTTTTTTTTTTTTGTCACAAAAATTTGAACTTAAACTAAAATTGTGTGTTCAAATATATAAACAAGACATACCATCAAAGAAAATGTTAGAATTCTCATTCTTGGATTTGGTAAAAAGAGAGAATGTTATGAAGAGTCGTTTGCCTTTTATGCAGGAGTGACTGAGGAGCAGTTCAAAGACAGCTGGACCAGGCCAGGAGCGGTGGACTTGGGTACTGAAGGAAGCGTCGTGGTTGCCAAGTCAAGGATGTAAGAGAAAAGAAGACAAGACTCTGGTTCCGGGTTACTATGCTTGCCCATTTCCAATATTTAATGGGATTTGGCGTAGAATAATCAATTGCAATAATATTACAGGCAATTGGGACATTCTAAGTATTTTTTTGGTTACATATTGTCGTATGTTTACTACTTCTTTCAGCTCTCCATTTGCAGAGAGCAGGGACGAAACTCGTTCGTGCTTGTTGTAATTCTGTTGTTTCTTAATCCTCGAGTAATGAAATACTTATCATTAAAAGTACCACTTCACACAATTTTATTATATTATTAATTTATTATTATGCAATCCAAGGCCGTAAAGACAATTAACAAACACCGACTTTTCGAACATGGGAATTTTGATGGTAGAAACTGTTTTTTTTTTTTTATCTTATTAATAAGAATTATTATTTTAATTGTTGGAGTAATTTTTAGTAAGAATAGTTTTGTATCACAAGTTGTAAATTTTTAATACGGACGTGCATAAATCTAATTATTAGAACAATAATTAGAAACAACAATTCCTTTTGTTATGTAAGCAGACACCGACCTTTTTAACATTATAAATAGGGAGAAAGCCAAAAATACAACACTTTATAATGAATAACGTAAACGTAAAGGTAGCAAAAAAAAAAAAAAAAAGGTAATATACATAAATTTCTCTTAGATTAATGGGGTGTTAACACCTGACCATTTGGGCCTGGAATTGGGGCACAACACGACACCAACCTTAGGCCCAAAACTTTTAAAAGTCTGGTTGAAAGAAGAGCAATGTTTATATTCTTTAATATATCCACTTATAATTTCAGAATTTCCATTTTGATTTTTCTTCGAGCAGGCCAGGCAGAAGCTGCGATTTGCACCTGTTTTGTTCAGCTTGAGCTTCGTGAACACGACTCAAAAGCCGGTCGAATTCCGCTTCCCGTCGCTGTGTTTTTACGGTTACCGTCACACCTGCGCGAATCCCTAATCCCAAATCTCAAGCCGTTCCTTAAAAGGTCAGGACATTTCTTTGAATCCTCCGTCGGCATAAATAATATTATCTGATTATTAGTAAATAGTAATTAGATCGCAGAGCGTGTAAAGGACCAAAAAGCCTTCCTCTTTTCTCTTCTGCATTATGCACCATAGATTTGACTTATTGTCTTTAATGATACCTTAAAAATCTAGTAAACCAAAGCTCTTTCTTTTTGTCTGTTCATTATTAAGGCTTCTTTTTTTAAAAAACAAAACTTTTTCTTACATTCATTGATTTTTAGGAACAACACAACAGTGACAGATTGGAGTAATTATTAGTGTCAAACGCAAGGGCATTTCGGTAACTTCAGCTGGAACAGGCAGTTACTCTAGTTGATTCTCTCCTCTGTCTTCTTCCCCACAACCACTGTCTGTTGGCGTTTGCTGAGTTGTGCCCATCTCTCTCTCTTAGTCTGTCTATAACTTCAAGTCAAACAATTCAGAGATCTGGAGAGTGTAGAAACGGAAAGTTAGAGAGAGAGAGAGGAAAAAAAATGAGAGAGCCAACAATGGATGCTTCAGCATTGGCACAGCCACAACCACCGCCGCAGGCATTGCTGGAGAGGCTCAAGGACTACGGCCAAGAGCACGCATTCGACCTCTGGGACGAGCTCTCCGCCGAGGAGCGCCACCAGCTCGTCAAGGACATCGAGAGTCTCGATCTTTCGCGGACCGATCGGATCATCCGCTGCTCTCTCCAGTCCCACGCCCTCCCCGCCGCCGCGATTGAGCCCGTTCCCGAGGGCTGTGTGTCGACCGTGGAGGCCCGAAGGCTCGAGGACCGCGAGCGTTGGTGGAAGGCCGGCTTGAAGGCCATTTCTGAAGGGAAATTGGCCGTCCTTCTCTTGTCCGGCGGCCAAGGAACTAGGCTCGGGAGCTCCGATCCGAAAGGATGCTTCAACATTGGCCTTCCGTCGGGGAAATCTCTGTTCCAGCTTCAAGCTGAGAGAATTCTGTGTGTTCAGAAGTTAGCTTCGCAGGTGAAGAGTGATTCTAATGTTCAAATACATTGGTACATTATGACTAGTCCTTTTACGGATGAATCCACGAGGAAATTCTTCGAAAGTCATAAGTACTTTGGGCTTGAATCTGAGCAAGTCACGTTTTTTCAGCAAGGCACGATTCCTTGCGTCTCCAAGGACGGTAGATTCATCATGGAATCTCCGTTTGGAGTGGCGAAAGCTCCTGACGGGAATGGCGGGGTTTATTCGGCTCTGAAAACGTCGAAATTGTTGGAGGACATGTCAATGAGAGGCGTTAAGTACTTGGATTGCTATGGCGTCGACAATGCGCTGGTTCGCGTTGCTGATCCGACTTTCTTGGGCTATTTCATCGACAAAGGCGTCGCTGCGGCAGCAAAAGTTGTCCGGAAGGCGTATCCACAGGAGAAGGTCGGCGTGTTCGTCCGCCGAGGGAAAGGCGGGCCGCTCACTGTTGTCGAGTACAGCGAGTTGGATCCTTCTCTGGCTTCGGCAATCAATCAAGAAACCGGCAGGCTCCGGTTTTGTTGGAGCAATGTGTGCCTGCACATGTTTACGCTTGATTTCCTTCACCAAGTTGCCAATGGACTTGAGAAGGACAGTGTCTACCACCTCGCCGAAAAGAAAATCCCCTCCATTCACGGTCACACGGTCGGATACAAGCTCGAGCAGTTCATATTCGACGCGTTTCCATATGCGCCTTCCACGGCGCTTTATGAGGTGCTGAGGGAAGAAGAGTTTGCTCCTGTGAAGAATGCCAATGGATCCAACTTCGACACCCCGGACAGCGCTAGGCTTCTCGTCCTCCGGCTTCACTCCCGTTGGGTGGTCGCTGCTGGAGGATTCTTGACGCATTCCGTGCCGTTGTATGCCACTGGCGTGGAGGTTTCTCCTTTGTGTTCGTTTGCCGGAGAAAATCTGGAACCTATATGCCGTGGTAGAACCTTTCATGCCCCTTGTGAGATTACATACTAAATAGGTAATAAGATAACTCCATGCTTTCTAGATAGCTTCTTTTTCATCTCATGTTTTGAGCTAGTGTATGAATTGAGATTATTGGGATTTTTGGGCGTGTTTTGATTCTATCGATATTGTGATGTGCAATGCTATTCTTGAGATTTGATTCCTTTGGTGTTAAAACAATAAATTAGATAAATAAAAGATCCTTTCTTTTGCTTTTTCTTTGGTCTCCAGTTTGATACTGTAAAATTACCTACATTTCTTTGCATGTACGTTGATGATCTTGTTATGCAATATAGGATGCCTTCTTCAATTGATTAAATGGAATTGCCTTACATGTTTGCAGAGACTTGGGTTTGGTTTTAGTATATCTTTCTTTTTTACTATCAAATAGAAAAATGCTTTGATTTCTCATGATTTTGGCTAATTCAGACTTGAGATCAAGTAATCTATTGAAAACTATTTCCCTTGGTAGGTAATATGGCACGTCAGTCTGAAATTTGTTGGCTGCCAGAGAATCATATCCAATTAAAGAAAAAAAATTATAGATTAAGCTAAAACTTTTGGTGTGCTTTCTGTTGTAACATCATCTATCTAGCAAATCCTAACAGCGGATTCTTGTGGGATCATATCTGTTAAGACTTCTGCTCTTGAGTCCATTTCACGTTTTTGAGTCATCTAACATTGTTGAGATTTGTTGCGTCTCTTGCTGCCTCACATTACTCTAGGTGAACTAGGTAAAGGTTAGACAATGTAAGGTCTTACTTGAAACTTAATACTTTGGAGTTTGATAATGACAAAATGAATATGACTACGTACCTAATCTGATAGCTTCAAGATGAAGAATCAGATTGGAATATGTACAAGGAGCCATGTAATTTTTTCTGTCATGATTGTTTTTTTCCCCTCAAAAAAGTCATTTCTCATGGGACAGGCAGATCTATGTGCATCCTTCTCTTTTCAAAAGTAAAATCAAAGGTTACGTCTATACTAGAGACACGTATGAAATCACAATGAGATATCCACAAGGTGGCAGGTGAAATGTTACTTAAAAGTGTCTTTGAGGAACATTGACAATTAGAGAAAGTAAAGCTTTCTTTTTTTTTTTGTTTGATACTCAGAAATTGCCTGAACCCACTTTGTGAGTCCGAGTTAGAAAGTGGAACCTAAAGGTTTGAGATTTAGTGGAATATATTTTGATGGACAAAAGATTAGCTTGAGGACCTTACTCTAATTTAAGTGAAGTCAAAGAAGATTGGTCCAGAAATGTACTAGTTTGGTGGATGTTTTTGATTTTGACCCTAGAGGTTGTGGTTGCTCTGCATAATTTGATAACCAAGAACTTCAAAACATAAGACATATTCCCCTGCTAATACTTGGAAATAGATTAAACCACTTGCTGATATTGGAATACTACTGAAATCAAAAGGGCAAGAATGAACAATTAGATGAGAAAATGATCTATTCTTCTTCTTTATTAATATTAGTACCAGTAATGCGTAGTGTTTTCCCTATAGAAGCTATTGATACTTGTTGATATAAATATATCTATATACACACACACACACACACACACACACACATGTATTGTTTTTCTATAGCTATTAAAGTAGATCCTGGTTAGTATTAAAGTATGTCAGTGTTTGTCCGTGCATTCTTCCAATAGTATTTACATCTGTCGGCTATTGAGCAAAATCAGAACTTACCAAGAAAAGTGAGAAGCACTTTCCTCTTTAAGACTTCATCATCTTGATTGCTAAAGTTTCCTGACATCATCTAAGAAACAGTGAAGTTTGCTCCTCCCAAGTGTTAAATTGCATGAGAAAAGAAAATCCTTATATTACATATGGATGGTGAGAAAGTAATAGAAACGAGATTTTTACAAGCATAATATCCCGTGTTACTCAATTATTGTGTCCCAAAAACACAATACACGAAAAAAAAAAAAGAGCAACAAGCCCTCTACTGTTTTATCAAAAGAAATAAAGATAAAAAGAACCAAGTTCTCAAAGACAAAAGTATTCGTGTGTGGAACAAAAGAAAAAAGTGCACCTTGCAAAAGGGGATATGATGATGTGTTGTCTTCTCTATCATTTTTTTTAATTATTATTTTTTCCATGGTTTCAAAATGGAGAGGACTACGATTATTGCAATAACCAGAAGCAATATAATGGAAATCATCATGCATTTTCTTGACCTCTTTTGCAAGGTTTTTGCCATTTGTAGAGCATCTGTACCGGATCGCACGTGGTCCACTGCGTTTGTTACCTGTGCAAACGTGATAAAACCACCACAACTCATTTGCCATCCATGTAAATAATAATTGTTCAATCAATAAATAAATAAAAATAAGAACAAAAGTGACAATTGACATTTCTGAATATGATTATGGTAATTGCCTACTAAACCATGCTTATTTAAAGTGATAATTAAGAGAAGTATTAATAGAGTCTTCACCAATAGTTAAATACCACTCATGGATAGCACTCAACACTCAATCGTGAGCCTTTTAAAAAATGAAAATTACAATTGTGCTCACCTGTTTAGTTGTCTACAAATAAGGACAAACATCTTTGTAGCATTTTCAGAGCAAAACATCTTAGTAGTATTTAAAAATTGGCATAGATTAAAGAGCATTCCTCTATATTTAAAGATTTTAAAAGAAATGAATTAATGAGCCTATTAGTGAGAGAGAAACATGCATTCTTATCTTCATTTTGGTAATGCTGGGGACCAATCTAGGCCTTTACCGACCAGGTAGGCTGTGCGGGTCCTCAACCCAAATCAGCCCATTCTGATAATGACAAGACCAGCCCAATGAATAGTTCCCTAATGGAAAAAGGATAAATACCCCCTCAGAAGGTACAAGTCTTAAATTTTTATCCGTAATGCTTAATTAATATCCTTTAGTAAAAAAAATATATTAATCAAAAAAGTATTAATCAAGCATAAAAAGTAAAAAGTCAGACTCGGGAACTCTTTAAAATAAGTGTAGTAATTTTCTCTTCCCTCCCTTATGTATGCTTTTTAAAGGTTAAAATCATCCAATGGCAGAATTTTCCTCTACAACTACAAGTAATGGAACATGTATTCAAAAGAATATGTAAAACTTGAGAGCACCAGCCTGTTGCTCTTTTAGGTCTTCATTTGCATTGGTCATCATGTTTCGTGAATAGAAGGAATAAATAGCGTAGAAAATTTAGCCATTATGTAAATGGATCAATTTATTTAGTAAAGATTAATTGAGTCCGAAATTGGACTGTAAACCAACAGAAGTGAATTTCAGGAACTATCAAAAATACCACTCAAGATCACAAAACAATATTATTTATGCCACCCCACTAAAAAATAAACAACTACCATTCAATTAACAAAGAGAAGACAAAAGGACACAATAACACCTAATTGCTTATAATGACATAAATAATATGCCTGCACAGACAAAACCATGACAAGTTGTGTACTTTTCTCTCTCTCTTTTTTTTTTTTTTTTTTTTTTTTTTTTGAATGAACCTAAAATCTTAAATATTGAAGCTAAAAGCAACTCAATGGGCAACAAAAGGCAAACAAGGGTTGGATTTGGGTTTAACCTTTGAGCCCAAGAAGAAGTAAAATGATATCCGCATTGGTCCTTTTTCTTTATTCTACCAAATTTTCCCGAGTGGTTTTAGGCAATAGCATAGTGATAGTTTCACACCTAACTCCTACCACAAGATGACCATTTGAATCCCCCACCACCTCCAAGTTCAAAAAAATAAACACAAAAATAAAAAATAAAAAATTCTCGACTAACGTCATCAACTACTAACAAGGACAGGTGTACATGATTCTCAATTCCTAACCAAGTGCACATTTAGCAATTTTGTTCTTTTCCTTTGGATTTTTAAGGATTAAGAGGTAAACAAAAGAATAAAGAAAGAATAAATGGCATAAGAAAGGGGAAAGAAAAAATGTGATACATATTATTAAGTGACAAAGTCATATAATCACAAGGCAAACCAAATTAAAAATGCCTGAACCCAAAAGCTTATCCTGTAAGAGGACAATTGTATAGTGGTTTTCAAAAATCCACATTAAAAACTTCAACGACACACTACCAACACCCCAAATCCAATAAACCAACTTCACTAAAGAAAGGGCTAATAAATCTAAAGGAAAAAACATCAAACCAAATAAGTAAGCTTTTAAGTGATGTAAAGAAAACGTATAATTTCTATAGACTCCTAGTTCACTAATATATTATGGTCAAGGGACAAAGGGAGAGCTTAAGCACCCTTGTCACTCTTCCATGGTTTGAGTACTCCTACAACTATAACAGCTACTATAATTAAGAGAATAATAATGGCAATGCACATCCATTTTCTGGAGTTCCTCTGGAGTTTCTTTGCATTTTGAAGTACAGTGTTCCCTCTTTGGACATGATCAACGGCATTTGTGACCTGAACAACATCCCCATTAACAACACGGTGCCACCAAGCAACACACATACATTGTGTAGACATCATGCAAAAACACATCCTCGGTATGCAAAAACACATCCTCAGTATGCAAAAATAAGTATTGAACGAACCTGATTCTCAATGTTATCGATGATCTCTCCCTGTGCTTCGACTAGGACCGCCATGTCCATGTAGATCTGAGAAATGTACAGGACTCGTGTTGTTTATTTACATGTCACTTTCAATGGTTACCGATCTTATATGTTGGAAACCACTAGTGTTGAGCATCACAAGCAATAAAGGGTGGATCATACATGTGCATCCCATACTGTGTGACCCACTATCTGTTAGTGTATAATGCTGAGCACCACTAGTATCTTTTAACATTTTTTTTATGTTGTTGTGTGCAAGTACCTGGTGTAAGTCAAGAAGCTTTTTCTCTATTTCTTTCACAGCATCATGTCTCTCCTGTATTTCTTCCAAAGTGCTTAGGACCTTGAATTGAATTTGCTGAATCAGAAGAGGCTCCAAAGTCTCAAACCAATGGACGATTAAGTGAGAGGTAAAACATAACAAACCTGTCCTCGTCCCGATTCTTGGATTGCCTTTTGGAATATTTGCTCGCTGTTTCCGGTTTCTATAAGGTTGTCAATTGTCTAAAATGAAAATTAAAATCATATTATAACCTATAAGATTTAAGTTCAGCATCAAGATTTTGATATTAGGATTTTAGGCTCACCTCTTCATCTGGTTTGCTGCCCGTAACTGAACAATTATAATCACACAAAAACAAGGTTTATTTTGTCAAAACATGATCAACCATTATGAAACTGTGACACACTAATTTAAGGCGAATATTTGCACTTTCAAGTATGGTAGTTTGTAAATTAAGGTATTCAAACCTGTAATGACCCTTCTCTCCACAACCTCACGATATTCATCTTGGATTCTTTGTCTGAGGGTCTGAAAAATAGTTCACTCGTGAGAAGTTAAGTAAAAACCAATTCACCAAGAACAAGTGTCGATATACCTGAAACTCGATCATTATGTCCCTGAACTTTTTGGTCAAAGAACTGCCATTCAAACACGTTGGTTTATAATCAGTTTATTATTGTTATTAGTCTAGAAAAAGGAGTTAAAAGGTAGTTGAAGAATCTTAAAAATAGGGAGTCTTCTGAACTTTGTCATGTTTGTCCTTGCTCTGTCAACACCTGTTCCTTTCTCACAACCAGGCTTCCGTCTGTTGGCTAAGTTCTGGAGGAACAAAAGAAAATCAGTACATAACTTAAGAAGAGGCTAAAGTATTGTTTGCAAAATACTAGGGAAAAAAAGGATTTACTTCTTTGCTTATGGCTTCTAGTTTTGATTTGACGCCGCGTGCAATCTTTCCCACTTCATCAATGTCTTTCTCCATGCGCTTCTTGATCGCTGAATGAGAGCAGTCAAAGAGTTGTCCGAGAAAATGGAACTAAAATCAGAACTCAATACACAAATATGCTGAAAAACACAGAGGGGATTTCCAGCATGCTAAATGGTTGATCAGTTATAATATTTAGTTAGGGATTTTGTTTATTGGGGTAGTTCCCATTGTCTTCTTCTCTATATTGGTTCTATTCTTCTATCTCTATGTCTTCTATCTTGGTCCGACATCAAAATGCCTATCAAACTTGGTCAATCCAACTCAAAGTTAAATGTATAAAACAATTACGCACTAGGTTTCATTCTCAGATGCAGTTTAGACCCATGTTTATACCTTTCATAGCTGATGCTTTGGTCACAGACTTTGACTCTTCATTAGCATCCTGTACAAAGTAAAAATTAGAGTTCAAACAAACTTGCTGGGCCCGTTTCATTCACTCACATGCACAAAGAACAACAAAATCTTGAAGACCTTATAAATATGTCAACCGTCACTACAAAGCATTGAATAAGAACTGTACAAACCTTAAGTTTGTTAAGTAGTCCAGAGACCTTATCCACCTGTTTCTCAACCTCTTGTATCTGAATCACAAAAAAAAATAATAATAATAATAATAATAAAGGAAAAAAAGGAGAAGAAGAAGAGCATAAAAAACCTTACTAAGGAAGCAAAAAGAGAGGAAAAAAAAAAGTACAAGTTTCAGCTCTTCCACAGATTGGTTCCCCACAATTTGCATCATATTTCATTCAATCATGATTAAAGACAGTACGATGAACAAAGAAAGAAAAAAGGTAAGACCTGCTTATTGAAAGCTTCCATTCCAATATCAGTATTGCTCCGTTGAATTTGCCTCCCCATTTCTATATCATCTTCTCTGGAAGGCTGGCCTTTGGCATCTCCAACAAATGAATCCTAGAGCACAGTAAAATCACAAAACAAAGTACAATTTGTTCAGTGTATGAGCTGACAAATTTATCCTTTTACTTTTACAAAATCAGAGGGACCCAAAGAAGTAACAGATTACAAAGCAACATTGAACCAAAATTGGAAAGTATTGTAATGTAGACCGGTTTCTCTATGTCGTTGATGTTTATTTAGGGCTCGTTTAGTTCGCTGATTCGAGTTTTTAATTCGAGTTGAGATGCGACTTTATCTTAGAACTTTTTACTGTAGCAAAATAGTTAAATGTTACTGTTTTTTAGAGCTTTTTACTGTAGTAAACTCGAATCGGTGAAATGAACAGGGCTTAATACCACTAAAATGACTGACATAATGATGCCTCCGTTGGAGAATCATGTAGGAATTTTTGGTGACAAGAAAAAGTTACGTAACCATTTAAGTGTATGTTAGTGCAAACACATGATTTTGGGTCTGCGTTTTTCTCTTAAAAAAATTTGAATTCAAAAGTCATAATCAATAACCCTTGTTTGAACATTGCGGATCAAATGCTTTTGGTTACATGGGCAAAATAACTATTCAATTCAACTGAAGTGTAATTGTCAGGGAACCCAGAGGCTTTTTTATTATTATTATTATTTTTAACCGAAACAACCAGAAAATAAAGAGACTGGCATAAAGGCTTCAACTTGGTCTGATCACTGAGCCATATTTAGCCTCCATTTTACAACTGGGGTATTCCCCAAAACAGTAAAAAAATAAAATTCAAGCCAGAATAAGATCATCAAAGCCCTCAAAAAAAAAAAGGAACTGAATTTAAAAACAAAGAATTAAGAAAAAAATTACCGTGAGCAGGTCGTTCATGTTGAAGAAATCAGATCACAGAGACGCCTAAAGAGAGTTGAAATTCCGAAGAAGAATATTCAATTGAAAGAAAATGAGTTCAAGAGCTGGAAAAAAAGGGGGGACGTTTTCAGTTTGTGTTGTTTTTGTTTATGGAGAAACAAAACGGTGAATGGCGTGTTAATGATAATTGATTGACCAATTGATTACGAATATAATAATAATAATAAGAATAATAATAATAATAAAGATTACAGATGTTAATTGTTGGTTTGGCCGGCGATGGAAGGGTCAAAACGACAGAAAGACAGTCCACACGCTCCCACAAGGGGCGTTACTAACGAATAAATAGTGTTTTTTCTTTTTTCATTTCATTTTGAGTTTAAAATTTGAGTTTTATTATAATAAAAATTTTTTAAAAATAATTTTATTTAAATTTTTATTATAGTAAAAAATTTTCATATAAAATTATATCTCAACTCGAATCAACAAACTAAACGGACTCTTTCTTCGTTAATTTGTTTGGTGGAATAATATTAGCCATCATGTAATCTTAACAAATATCTCTAAAGTGTATGGGTTATAATTTTATCTTTTACTCTTGATTCATAATCTTTTTAGTTAAATAATTACACTAATAAAAAAATATTTATCAAAAATAAGAGGTAAAAATCCAGACTCATACACTTTTAAAGATAAATTTTTTATTTTTTTCAATAATATTCCACCTTTGTTTTTTTTTTTTTGACCTTTTTAAATTCTCTTTAATCGTTTTAAGATTTCTATTTTTTTTTAATTTTATCCAATGCTAGCCTCTTTGACATTAGAACGGGCTTTGCTCCACAAAAGAATGTTCTAAAACTAGGGAAAAAGGGAGTTTATCTGTGTTTTTTGTATTTTTACGCATTAAATTTGATTAAAATTACATCAAATTAAAAAAATATATGTAAAATAGACATATTTTAATACATATTTAACGGTTAAAAAATAAAAAATGCCGGTATTTTAAAAAAAAAAAAAAACACCAAAAAAAGTCTTTAAAAAAAAAAAAGTAATTGGTTGGTGAGTTTGCTATCATCTAATCCTTTAGACCCAAAATACTCCTTGAATTTTACCTAAATATCACTATTCTTTTTATTACACAAATGTTTAAGGCACCCCATATGTTCATGATACTCAAAAGACCACCCGAAACTATTAGACCATAATATTAAATAAAATCAATTTTAAAAAATAAAATTCTTAAAATAATTAAAGTATTTATTTGATTGAAATATTTATTTAAACATTTTAAAAATATTATTTAACTTTTCATTTAAATTATATTTAATATTAAATATTAAATATAAATTGACAAGCGTAACTTTGATTTTTTAAAATTTTAATTGCTTCAGGATTTCACATTTGCATAATAAATAGAACCAAAGAGCAAAAGTGGCAAAACGATTGTTTTGGATGTTTCTCTGTTTTTATTAATAGAAAGTGTGGAATAAAAATCTCTCTTTGTTTAGTAAACGAAGTATTTTTGGTGAAGTTGCAACTAAATTTTATAAAGGAGAATATTTGAAGAAATAAATAAGGAAAGGCATGGTCCCTTAAAAAAAAAAATAAAGAAGGCAAGGAACTTTCAATTTTCATAGTTTTATATTAATAAGGAACTCAATTCCAAAAAGAGATGTTGAATTCTTAATTTTAAATTTAAATGTGTATCTTTTATACATGGAAATTATACAAGACATGCTCCAATTATAGATGACCCTTAAGTCCTTAAGAGTATTTCCAAAAAAACTCTCCAGATTTTAGTAAAATTTTAATTAAAATAGCTAGATAGTTATTTTATTTTGCAATTTTTAATTGATTCAGGTCCAACCATACTCTATATTTTAACTAGATATATAATATTTTAATATTTATCAAATTTAAAATATAAATAACTTATTAAATTTGAAAAAAAAAATCTTTGCATTTATTATTGTTAAAAGAATAAAATAATACAAAAAATTAAATGGCTAGTCTCTTCATATTAGTTATATTTAGCTAGTATGAAAAATATTTTCCAAAAGAGTTAACCCTTTAGCTAATGGTTGGAGTGGAGAAAAGTAATTAAAAAAAGATAAAAAAAACTAAATTATTAACTATTTTGACTAAAAATATAAAATGGTTAGTAAGGTTAGAATTGCTCTAAAAGAAGTTATCTTTTGGCCTTTTTCTTCTCAAAAGTTATCTCTCACTTTCTATATAAAAGAATAAGTTTAAATTCATTCCTAAATAGCAAATAACTAACCTATTTACCATAAATACCCTCATTTTAATTTTGTTCTTTACTTAAGTTGTCAATTGCAGCTAACACAAAAAAACGACATTTAGTTCTCCTGCAAAATGTTGTCGCTTACATTGTGGTTAACTTTAACATGGTGTTAGTTAAAGTCAAACGACATGTAGTTCGTGTTTTAGAATATTCTTTCAAGAGTAAAATATAGGACAAATTTTATAAGTTACTTCTGAACTTTATCACTTGTATTAATATGCTCCTTAAATTTTAAAATGTGTATGTTGTACTTTTTAAACTTTGTTACTTATATCAACATGTTCCTGAAATCTCTGTTAAGTTTTTTAACGGAAATGCTTATAAATGCCCCCTAAATTTTGTTACTCGTGTCAATATACCACCTGAAATTTAAAATATACATGTTTTGCTTCTTGAACTATAATATGTCTCCAAGTTTTTCCCATCTATCTTGATTTTATCAGTTTTTGAACGGAAATGTTAATATGACCATTAAATTGTTAATTATTTATGATATTTGAGGTTTATTGAATACCTTCTCTAAAATGTTAGTTAAGCACAAATTCTCAAAACAATAGTTGATTAAAGACAATAAAGAAGGAAAAAATAAGGAGCACGTATGTATAATGTAATGAATTTTATTAGTATTTTTTTTCCTTAATATTTCACCCAGATGTGCTCGACATAAAACATATTTATGCTTTATACATATATAGCATTTCTAAATCTAAATGTGTTCAGTACACCTTTAAAAAAAATCAACACAAACCTTAAGAAACTCATTGACTTAACAAACTTTAATGGTCAAATATTAAATAATTAATAATTTAATGGTCATATCAACATTTTCGTTTAAAAAACCGATAACATTAAGTTGGAGGGAGAAAATTTGGAGAAATATCATAGTTCGGGGGCAAACACATGTAAATTTAAAGTTCAAAAGGTATATTGACGCAAGTGACAAAGTTCATGTGGTGTTTATAAGTATTTTAGTTAAAAAACTTAACAAAATTAACCTCACGAGGCATGTTGACACAAGTGGTAAAATTTAAGAGGCACAACATACACATTTTAAAGTTCAGAAGATATGTTAATACAAGTGACAAAATTAGGAGGGAATTTATAAAATTTGTCCATTGAAATATGCCGTTGGTGCAAAAGACATATGGCTGCAATAAAAGTTTCTTTCGTTTATTACTGCAAACAGTATGTCAGTTTAATTTCCAAATTATGGAAAAAACGACATGGAATATATCATTTGATTATCTTTGAACTTGTTGTCAATGAAAATATGGTTTTTTTTTCCGAAGTATTTTGTTGTCAATTTCTTCAGAAATAACATAGCTTAGTTGCCTAAATTTTGGTTGTCATTTGCAAACAAAAAGCACAACTCTTTTACTTACTTCTAATTTTAAATTTGACTACGTTCTTTTTTTCTTCTCTTTTTGATGATACGAGATGAAATTTATGCTTTAGAAGTTTGCTGCTGTCCTTTCCTACAAATAAACGACATATAGGTGGTATTACAAAATTATTCTCATTAACATGAAGAAGTGGCGTGTCGTTTCTGCGTACTTTTTTTTTTTTAAAGGGAAATTCATTTCTGCGTACAAGTTTGATATCATTTACCTCGAGAAACGACATAAATTTTTGCTTCTTGTTATTTATAAATTCCAAAAATTTGTTTCTTCCCTCCTTTAAAGCGACATGGAAATCCGTCCCCCAATACACAACTTTACTGCCGTTAGCGATAGAGAGAGGTATGCCATTTACCTATCAAAAGTTTTGCGTCATTTGATGTTAAAATTAGGGTTGACAATCCGGGTAGTGATGACGACATGACTCGAAATTCACATAGAATTAGTAGGTTTTGGTTTATCATAAATAGGTATGGGTCAAAATCAAGTTGAACTAGTATAACACGATTAAATAACGTGTTATTTTCAGGTTGACCCGTCAACCCACAATTGATCTGCCATAACCCGTTTATTAAACGTGTCATATTTGGATAACACGAATACCCAACCCGTTTATTACCCATTTTATAAACAGGTTTAGAAATAGGTTAACACGACCCATTTATCACCTATTTTATAAACATGTTCAAAAATAGGTTAACATGACCTATTTATCACTCATTTTATAAACGAGTTGACAGGTAATCAACTGGTTGACACGACACGTTTATGACATGTTTAATAAATGGGTTATTCGTGTCGTGTCGTGTCAACCCACCAATATACAAGTCGCGTTTGGATTTTGTATTTCGACACGATTAATAAACGGGTCGTGTTCGTGTCAGACCTATTCGTGTCAACTGAGGGGGTTAACACGACACGAACACGACCCGTCAACACGAATTACCACCCCTAGTTAAAATGTCATTTTCAAATATGTTTTCTTTTTTCTTTTTAGAAAATTTTCAAATATGTTTCACGGTATGATATTCGAGTTATAAAAGTACCCATTAATTTTTTTGTTTATTTTTTTAAAATTTTATTTCGAAACTGTCTTATTATTTTCTCTAATTTATCTCTACTGAAATAATTTTTCATATATGTGCTCTAACTTAAGGGTTTTTTTTGGGGTAGTCCTCTGAAATATTATGTTTACAACTATGTCTCTTACAAATGCTTTTTCCATCAACTTGTTTTAGTTGTATATTTGCTGTTTTAATGATAAATATGTTAATACTATTTTATTTTATGCTATGTTGTTGGCTCCCTTGTAAGTGGCAATTGGATTGTTCGTCCTAAAATAATAGGAAATATTGCTTTCAAAGTTCAAACTATGTGCTTCTAAGAGAAACAGAGTATGATAGGGTTCGAATGTTTAACATTTTTTTGTCTTAAAAAAAATCCGTAAATAACTTTTTATCTTCTAATTTTTTTAAAAAGTTCCTATCCGCGTTAATTCTAAACAAGAATCATCTCAACAATCCTCACAAAGCAATTTGAATCCTATAAAGACTCTATATATAATATACCTATAAATTAGAGCCCAACAAGTATATGCGGCAATTAGTAAGCCTTTATTTTTGTTGCTCTCGTTTAGTCGTTTAGTCGTTTAGTCCTAAGCTTGTTTGTGTTTCTTCACGTTCAGCAGCAAACATGAAATTGCCCATCCCGTTGGCCTAGAAAACATAAATTCGTTTTTAATATTAACCACCAACAATGTCACATTAGGTATTGACATAACAAATAGACGATCACAGAAATGTCGGGAGCTTCAAGTTCAAGAACGCCACGGCTTACGTGAATTATCACGGTGATGTTTGTGGCTGAAGTTCCGACAGGGGGAAATTTTGTCCCTGCGCGAGGTAACCTTAACATCACTACTTCCGCTGATCTTATGGTAGCAAGAATGATCGCAAATCCAATTTTCTTCGATGATTTTGGTACAGGGAGTGGTCGTAAATCTAATTTTTTTCGATGATTTTGGTACAGGGAGTGGTCGTAAATCTAATTTTTTTCGATGATTTTGGTACAGGGAGCTTGAACTTGACCTCAACGGTTGCACTTCATGGCAAAGTGAGTTTAATTAAGTTTATATGCACCGTGTTTTAATTATTATAATTAGATGTAATAGAAGCTTAAAAAGTTTGGAATTGAATTTATAGCCTTTGCATTATTAAGGAATTTTTTTTATTAATTAAACCCATATTTTGTTCTTCTTTACCCCTCCTCTTCAAGTCGTAATTCCTGAGGAGTAATAATTGAATGAGTGTGAGTTTTGGACATATAGGATACAATTTTGTTGTTGGGGAATCACATATTTAGATCTCGATCATCAAATTCTTTCCTTTTGTCTTCAAGTTATAATTCATTACTCCACATTGTTTTTCATGTCCAAATTGTTATAGTTTAATGAGCGTCGTTTTTGAACGTATGCGCTCTAATTATGTTGTTGGGGGTAGTATTTATAAACTGATAAATGCCCTTATTTTCTTTCGTTTTTTTTGTTGTTGTTGTCGTCGTCTTTCAAGTCATAAATAAGTCATGGCCCCGAATTGACTCTTATATGTTGTAATATTAGTCGATAATTGAATAATCAGAACAATAATAATAAAAATTACAATAAACTAATTCCAACAATCAATAGTGTTCAAGTGGAGATAATAGAATTCATAATGGGTGTTATCAAGACTATAATCTACACCAATCAATTTATTCAAAACTTTTTTTTTTGGTGGGTGGGGATTGAGATAATTAATATTTTTTTATACATAAAGAATTTAGTTGTGAGAAAATCACGTAAATGACCTTTTTTTTACCACTTTTTTATATAAATGACTGAATTTTTTTATTTTTTAAATATATAGCCAAACTTTTTTTTATTTTAGCAAAATGACCTTTTTTCAATAGTCAATCAATGATTGACCGACGGTCAATCATTGATTGACCTATCCGTTATTATAATTTATAATAATTTATCATTAATAAATATGTAATTTGTTAATTAAAATTGATTAATTAATAATTAATTTTGACTAATTATTAATTAATATTAATTAATAATGAAAAATTATCGTGTTAAGCAGTGATAAACTTAAATCAATCAGTGATTGATTGCTAGTCAATCCGTGATTGACTATTTAGTTAATAAAAAACTGCCATTTTACTAATTTTACCAAACTTCGGTTATTTAAAAAAAAAAAAACCGTTAAAAAAGGGTTATTAATTAGCGTCTATATCCCTTTAGTTGTGTATTTGTTTCTATGTGCGGATTTAGCAATATTGTTTACGTCAGTATGGCTCTATACAATATGTTCATTGTTTATAACGAGATCAAATTGACAGCCCTTAAGTAAGTAAATTGCTATCCATTTTAACGCGCGATGATTCAAATGCTAACTTTGTTGGTGAAAGTGTATTGATCATTGCCACCAAATTAAAAAGACAAATAAATGATGAGCTTCAACTAAAAAAAATTAACTAACAATAGGATTAGTTAATTACTTGTATCAACGGTTGCCACACATTTTATTAACCATTGTACACATAAATTATAGTGAATGCAACAAGATCAACACAAGTTTTCCTACGTATTAATTTTGTAAACACAATGAATCATTAATTTTCCTATTAAAACCATGATCACTCGAAAACCTTCTCGGAGAATTCTCAAAATCCTCTGCCACGTAACTATCGTCTTCTTAATCATCGTTGCCACCGTCGTTACAACCCTGTCGCTCACCATCTTTAAGCGTAGAGAACCACGAGTCCAGCTAGAAAATTTCCACCTCACCTACTTACCCAATGAAACAATAACCGTGAAAGTAGTTGTGAAAGTCAAGAATCCCAACTACGAAAGCTTCAAATACAAGAACACTACAGCTTCTATAACGTATCAAGGCATTATTGTGGCTTTGGTTCCTATTGAGCCGAGATTTGTCCCTGCTCGCGGCAAGCTTAATTTTACAATTACTTCTGTGGATCTTTTGGTGTATAAAATGGTGGAAAGTCCCAAGTTTTTTGAAGATATTGTGTCTTATGGGAGCTTTAACTTCACCTCGTCAGCTACTTTGCATGGGAAGGTGAGGATTTTAAAGTTTTTGAAGTTTGATGCCAAGGTTTTATGCACTTGTGATATCTCGTATTTGATTTTGTCTCAGAATGTTACATCTAGATGCATGACCAAAGTCAAGTTATAATTAAGTTTGTAGGGTGTTTTTCCTGGAAAATGAAAAAGAGTATACGTGCAGATTACTAATATTGTTCCGAGCAAATAGATGAGTATAATACTTGCAGAAATTTAGAGAAATGTCCCTCATTAGAAGGGTATAATCTGGAACACAATAAGATATATACTTTTAATTGTCTTGAGAAAATTACATGATATGCCATGGTTTTCTGCAATCTGTCATTCTAACTAATTAGATTTTATCATGATTTTTTATTTTTTCTTTGTTAATTAAATGACAATTATATATTTATTTTTTAATGTAGTGATATAAATAATATTTTTTTTTGGACCATTTTAAGTGGTGTTTTTTATTTTTCCCCGTGATTCTTTTCCCCACTATTATCAACTCAATGATAGAAACTGAAGAAGTGAGGGGCATATTTTTTTTTTTTTTGGAAAATTTTTTAAAATATCCTTTGAAATGGAGTCCCTTTTATTTCTACCCTTTAACTTTAGGCAATATAATACTACATTTTAGATTAGAACTAGTCAAGGGGTTTAGTACGTCAGGTTAGAAAAAATAGAGAATTTACCTGAGAGTACATGGGTCTGGACCTTTACCATTTTCTCTTGATAAATATTTTTTTGTTAGTGTAATTATTTAACTAAAAGGTTATGAATCAAGAGTAAAAGGTAAAAATCTTGACTTATATACTTTTCAAGAGTATTTATCAAGATTACATATTAGGTTACGAGGTAGAATTTGTAATTTTTTCATCTTCTTTTTTATGTGGACCCTTACATACTCGGGCCATTTGCAGTTGTCCAAGTAGTGTACAAAATCTTGGGCTTAGTATACGGTAGGCCTGTTTGAAAGACTGAAGAAGGTAAATCACGAAAGCCCGGAAGAGAAACTGTGGATCGTCAAAGCTGTTTGCCCTCCCCTATTTGTATGAATCCATTTTTTGCTTAAAAATTTACATAAATCATTTACGGAAATAGTAAAAAATATGTCAATATGAAAAACTTAAGAAAGTGTATAGATCAATTTTTAGTTATAAAAATTAATAGGTCATAATTTGTTAAGTTATGGTTCATAACCAGATAAGTTGTGGACAAACTTGTCAAGTTATGGTTCATAATCAGACAAGTTATGGACAAAAATCATGAATTATGGATAATAACTTGTCAAGTTATGGTTCATAACCAGACAAGTTATGGATAAGAACAGTAATTTGACCTATTTATTAACTTATATAAACTATTGGCTTATTAATTTTAATTCATCTCAAGTCTTGGTCTATTTTCCTCTTTCACGCAGACATTTTTAAATATGAATTAAATTAATAGCATAGACTGGTCAATGTTAAAATGGAAGACGGTAATAACCAGTATGTCCTTCAAAAACAAAAGGAAAGAAAACTAAGACCACCACCAAATCTCCCCCGTAACAGCGGTCTTGAGGGGTTCTGGATCTTTCCGCTGCCTAAAGTTTCTTTTCGTATTTTAAAATTTTTGGATTTTTTTAAGTTCTTTTTTCTTTTTTAACACTGCTTTAGTCGGAAATTGAACATTGATGGGCAAAGAGTATTAATTTGATACATACTTGAAATCTTATGGTATTCAATTTTAGCCGCAGATTAATTAACTCAACCATATTTATGTCACAAACTGGATTTCAACCGTTATTTTTCCTTTATTTTTCATTTGATCTATTTAAGAAATTTGAGTTTTTTTTTCTTTTTTATTTACGAACCCATTTAGCCACGCCACGGTTTAACTAACTTCAACGAGATTTTTTTTTTTTTTTTAATTCAAGAAACAATAAACTACAACTTCTCTTTTTTTTCTTTTTTTTTTTCTTTTCCTTTGAGTAACACTAACAACTTGTTACAGTTCCGAATAAGTTATAGAAAAATTTGTGTGTGATGGTTTTTAATACTCACGTATTAAAGTATAGTTGTTGATCGAAGACATAGATATCAAGCTACGTATATATGTTTTCTTTTTTCCGGGGGTGAAGAGAATCATACCTCTGACTATACTTCAGTACACTTAATAAATTTTATATACAGTTAATTTAGAGGAATTTTCTTAGGGGGACCAAATGATTGGAGTTTGAACGCGGACTATATTTTGCAATTCTTTTGCCAGCCGCCCCACGCTTCCTGCCTTCCCTTCTCTCTCTATCTCTACACAATACATATACAATTATACATACACATATAATATAAATACACACGTATATATCTATGTATGATTCAAAGATACGGCAATTAGTTTAATAGATTTTATCCTCGATTGAAATTTTTGTTTAATGGGAGTTTGTTAGAGAGGCCGGCAAATACAAAAAAGATCATTTTATATATACACACACACGCACATATATATATATATATATATATATGTATATATATTCTATGTGTGCAACAAAAGCAACTAGAATATTCACGGGACAAATCCAAGGTTGCAACCAGAAAATTGTGCCCTCGTAATCAAGCAATGAACTGACTTACATTCCTAGAGCCTAGTCACGGGGCCTAAAAATAAAATGAGGCATTATTTACATCATCACGGGGAATAACAACCAGAAACATGTTTGTTCCAAAGTCAAAAGCGAAAAACCAAAACATAAAAGTATAAATTAATGGTGAAATAGACTGTGGAATTTTGAGTTAGTTTCAACTTCTTGCACATGGAAGATTACCAATCAATCATTGGTAACTCAACCCCAAAATTAGTTGGACATTTATTGGTTCGAATTCAGTTGGATATGCCATTTCCACATATTTTTGTTGAAAAACTGCCATGTGACGTTTTATGGCAACACGCCACGCACTAGTCTATTATCTATTACTTGGACATAAGACTAAGAGTGAGTGAATCCTGAATGGCTGAAAGCCACAAATGACTATCGAGTCATGTAATTTCCCTGCGAGTGCTTAAAAAACTAGTAACATTATAATTTTATCAAGATGCAATTTTGAACTATGATATTTTTTAAATTAATTTAAGTAATTATACTTTTGAAATTTGGTATGATCCTTTTCCTAAAATTTAGAATTAATTTCAATTTTAACCCCAAAAAATAAGGGTAATTGTCTGATTTTGCCTCTTACAATATAATTCAAAATGATAACATTAGTGAACGAATGAAACACAAAATTTTTAATCGTTACAATCACACTCTGATCATGCAACTAGCTAGTTGGTAAAATAAAATATGGGAGAACGATGGTGATGTGGGGGTTGCTAGCAAAAGGGAAGATATGACATTTAGGGTAGAGCAAAAAAAAAAAAAAAAAAAAAAAAATTATGTCATTTTCATAATTTTTTTTCATAAAATTTTAAAGTCCATTTTGCTTAAATTTACTATACTACCTTCTACCGAGTAGTAGCGTGTTTGACATGTGCTTAACATAGTTAAAAAAAGTAGCAATTCATAGAAGGAAGTTTATAGCATATGAAAAGTTTAAGGGTCAGTTTTGTGTCATTTTAAATTGTAGGGGTAAAGTGAGACAGCATATATTTTTCAAGAGTCAAAACTCATAAGTTTAAGGTGGGTATTAGTAATTTGCACCTTACGGTAGTGAATGATCCAATGTGAATTTACTATTAGACTATAACTGCAACCACATAATAACAATGTTGAAATTACATACTACTTTTGACACCTAACAATATGAAAGTGACATATTTAATATGTTATTCTATGTGCTTAAATATACAATGTTATTTCAAATAGTAACCTAAGTAAATTTTTAATTGTAGAATAATTTGAAAATAGTAATATTGTAATGAAAAATTAAATACATCAACCAATAGCAATCAAATGTCAAGTACTTAGTATCAAATTTAACACCAAGCTGCATAGTATACGCCAGATTTAACGCTAAAAATAAAATTATACTTAATTTTCTTACTTAAATGCTAAAATTTGTTATTAATGTACTAATTTAACACGGCACTCACTTAACTACTTAAAATTATATCTTACCATATTTTCTCAACTTTTTTGTTACGTTTTTTCAATCAAAATGATGGCTATACCCGGAAATCACGCGGTCTGAACAACTTGGTTTGGTCAGGTCTGGTTGTATAAATGCGACGACCAGTACTTTTAGTATGTGAATTGAATCAACCACATTTGTACGTCAATTCTACGAAAGCTTGTTTTCATACAATCGCAAGCTTTGTTGGAAACTTGGAAGCACTTGATTTACTCCTCAATCAGGCCCCCCCATTTAGGCCGTTTAAAATCTTTTTTTTTTTTTTTTGGTTCTTGGTCAAAATACTGCTGTGAAAGGAGGATAGTTTTAAAGTGACTGAGCTTTAAAAGATTGCAGAATTTTCCTTACAGTGACGAGTCATGTTGTGATTGATAGATTTTGTCCAAAAGGAACAACTATTTGGTTCTATCTATTTGTTATATTTGACCAATAAAAAAAAATATTAATATAAATATGTTATATATCTTTATTTACTGTTTGTGTATTACATACATCATTGATTACATGGGTTTTCGGTTCAGCAATTTTGATGGTATCTTTTGCAGAAGAGTTACAAAAACATGATCACAAACTGAAAAGGTTCAAACGTTTCATGAAGCCGCTAATTAATGACTAAAATCAGACAGATATACAACGCATTTTGCGAAGGAATAATATGTTATTGAAACTTTGGTATTTGGCAAGAAAAAGTTTGTCTGTTGCTCATCACTTTTTCTCTTCAAAATTATTTTTTACATGAATACAAGGCATTATATTAACATGTTCAATGCTGAACTGCCTTCACGAAGCATTATTGGTTTTTTTTTTTTTTTTTTTATAAAAAAAGAATAAATAAAGAAAGAAATAAAGAAACACAACTGACCCCACTATAAGAGAGATTAGATTAACAAATCGACCCAGTAGTGACGTTTGGAAAAGCTAGCTAATTAACTAACACGTTAGTGATATTATAAGTTGGAAAACATAATCAACCTGCTTATTAATTATATAAGCCAGTACTTTTTCTCCCTAAATGAAATGAGCTTGAGATTAATAATTCTCGTAAAAGGGGAAAAATCAAACAAAACAAAAAGAAAAAAGAAAAAGTGACGAAAAAAAGCTATATATATATGTGTGTATATATATATATATATATTTTTTTTTTTTTTTTTTCATGTGAAGGAACTAGCTATGAAGGTCTTTTAGCCATAATTAATGAAGAATTGTCGGTTCCTTCTTATGTAACGGCTTGAAGTTAATTGAATCTGAGTTTGGTCATTAAAGTTTAATCTAATACCCAATACTCCCAAAATTATAAATCACATCAACATTAGTGGTCGTTAACTATGTGATTGACCACCTAACATTAGTTGCTAATTTATCAATTTAAAGCCAAATGGGGGTTTGTCTTGTCGATTGGATGATATCCCTAATGCGTTATTATCACCCAGTTGATATGTATGGCTGTGTTTGATCCAATGAAAACACAAAAGAAGAGAGAGTTTCTTCAATTATGTCCATTTTTCTAATCCAAATATATATGCACAATTTGATGTGATAATAACCCACCCAATAGTCTTAATTTCCACTTCTGATCATATCATTTTAATAATTCGTGATGCTGACTTGAAAGTTTTACATTCAGAGCACGTGTATATATATATATGAAGAGCTAATTCAAAAAATTGAGTTTTCACTGAGAACATGATGAGAATTCGGGTTACTTCCATGGCCAAATTTCATCTTAAAATGGTAACTATAATTATTTAGGAATTGAACTATCATAGAGTGGCGGGCCACATGTGCAAGAAATTATAGGAAAAGCTCATTTAGCACATAAAAGTGGGATTAAATTCTTTATAAGAAATTAACATCACTTCTATATATATGATATAAGATATTCTTGCTTAGTCCTTTCTTAGCTACTTCCATTGTTTATTTTCATGTATTCAACAATATTTGTAGCTACTTTGTCAAAAAAAAAAAAAAAAAATTTGTACCTAACACTATAGAATTAATTATGTTAATCCATCAGGGAAAAGGAGAAAAAAAGAAAGAAAAAAAAAAAAAAAGCTATTGACACCCTTTTAGGAAAAGGTGTTTTCCATCACACAATTTTTCAGACATTTATCTTCTGCATTCATTAAATAACAATTAATAAGAATGCCTCCTTTGGTTCTAAGAAAAGAAATAAAAAAAAAAAAAAAATTTTTAAAAAAAAAAAAAAAAAAAAAAAAAAAACAGAAGAAAATAAATTGTTTCTACGGTACAGATACCCGTACACGTACACACACACACACACACACACACACACAAACACACACACACACTTTAGAATATTCAATGGTTCACAAGAAACAATATTATTGTTGCACATATTTTACCTTCTCAAGTACCCTTAGGCAAATAATTAATTAAGTGAAGAAACTAATATCTTACTAATTATTAAGTTGAAGTTTTTCTGTTGAGATTATTACATCAAGAAATTTTCGTTTGGCTATTTTCAACAAGAAGAAGCATATATAAATACATCGTCAGCATCTTATCGAATTTGTTCTTAATATTTAATTAGATAGAGAATCAGAATTATTTGAATTAACAAAAAGGTCTAGAGGGAATGTGGTGCACAGAAAGAGTCAACCCAAAAAATATATACTTTAAATATTGGAGGAAATTTAGCTGAATATTGTCTCATATATATATAAATCTGTGCAAAACTCTTCTGTACTGCGTCACCTGCCTTAAATGCTCTTGCACATGGAGGGGTCTTCCATTGCAGTCCTTTTTGCGTATTTTTTTTCAATTGAATGGCCTGCAAGATGTTGGAGATGAATTAATATTATTCAAACCAATCAATCTACTTTTCCCTTTTTTTTTATTTCTATATTATATTGTTTATAACTCTGAGGGTACAAAGAAAATTAATTACATGCCTTAGGTTTCAGGTTTGATTCTGATCATACCAGTTTTTCAATAATGTTTCAATAATTTCTAAGCATTTAATATATATATATATATATATATATTAAATAGCATATTCATGTACTAAGGGAAATTACTTGCATGTTTTATGCAGGTTGGGTTGATATATTAAAGTCGGCATTATTTGACTAGCTTAATTAACATTTCTAATTATTGATTTCTTTCAGTAATATTACTAGTGTTCACCATTGTAGCAATGCAAGATTTTTTTTTTTCAAATTAAAACTTTGAACTAAGGTTACAGCCTAAATTACATTTTCTTAAATGTTCTCTCTTCCTTTTATCCATTTGTATCTAATTCTTTATTCTTCTTCCAACTAAGCTTGCACTAGAATTTAATTCACTGTTTAATTGAATTACAAATTTACATACTAGTATATATAGTTGATTTTTTGATTTATTCTATGAGTATGCTTAAAAATCAAAACTTGGGTAAAGCTAAATAATCTTTGTTAAGAAAAGGAAGAATATCTAGGCTTAGGAAAATTTAGGAGGACAAACTAGTAAAAAAATATTATTATTTTTTTTTTTTTGGAAACAAAAATATAAGAAGCCATTGTGCGAGGGGCAACTTCCCCGGGCATAATTAATGTAGCTCCTCCCCGTAGTGTAAGAGATACTCTTCTATTTTATTATTTAATTTGTTATCTCTATATAGAGTGTGTGTATATATATGTTAGAGGTGCCAACAAAGTTCTACATTGAAACAATTCTAATTGGGAGCTATGATAGGTTTATAATGAAGTGAGCTACTCCACTCAATAGGTTAATCTTTTGAGTTGGAACCCCAATCTCTTATAATGGAGCCTATGGTCCGAACAAGTGGTATCAGAGCTAGAACCCAGATGTTGCCAAGTGTATGTACGAGATGAATCCGATGTGCCGAATGAAGGTGTGGGCCCCAGGTCGCGATGGTGGAAAAAATTCCGTGAATGCTCGAGGTGGACCTTCCATCCAAAGACACGGGGAGACCTCGAGGTTGTTGGGATATATGCGATGGAGAGCATAAGGTAGTAGGATCTTCATGTAATGCAATAGAGGTGCGATGGAGTATTCAATAGACATATATATATATATATATATAGCTTTGAAGAACAACTAATTTCAAGGAGAATGTCCCCGCAGTCCGCACCAACTTTTATAGGAAATCCTTCATTGTTAATTAGCTAGTCACTAAAAAGACGTCAAGTTGCTCTATTTATAATTCTGCACTGGTTTTCCAAGTTCATGTACCAATGACTTTGTTGTCTAAAACTACTTTACTATATTGTAATAAATTTATTTATTAAGTGATATAAAAAGGAGGTATCTACTACGTTTACACGTAATGGCATATTACATATGTTTATCACATCATGATATGCCTATATATATATATACGGTATATCTATAGGCACTAGGGCTGATCTTGCTCGTTACATGAATGTTCCAAGATTATTTGTTTATTTAAATTCTGAATGTTCCTTGATTAATTTAATTTCGTGTTTGTTGTTATCTATATATATGGTATAACCGCTGTCAAATATGAAAATGACCTTCACATGCTCTGTTCCACCTTGCCACTTATAGTTTCTGTCTTCTGATTAGACAATATGGAATATAGATTGAACAATAATATTCATGAGAATTAATAGTAACTCGGAATAATTATTAAACAACAACATATATTGACAAGAATTTCTTAATTTTTGTACATGTTCATAAGGTTCGTTACATGGATCACATAGAGAGAGAGAGAGAGAGAGAGAGAGAGACTACAAAGAGATTAAAGATATATTGAGATTAATTATCCAAGATAATTCACTAACATGGACAAAGGAACCAAGCACAACCCTCTTTTCTTCAGGTCTAAACAGTCGTTTTCTCCATTGAAATCCACTGTCCTCCTTTCTTCTGGCTGCAGTTCTGAATAGTACTCTGATGTACCTCTTTTTCCCTAAAAAATAATATAAAATTAAAAGAATATATAACCGCAAAACTTTTAATTTTTCTGGAACCATCAATTCCTTCGTCCACAACATGCATAAGTAGAAAACTTCATCTTTTTTCTCTAGAATAAAAAGAATTATAAACACAAGTTTACATATTATACCAGAGAATCATCAATAAGATCATCTCTCTGTTTGGCTTTCATATCAACCGCTTTCAGATCACCAACCTATATTATTTTGATCCATCAAAATTTGTAAGAGACCAAAATTTAAAGAATATAACCAATATAATCCCACCACCCCTATTTCAGCAAAAAAAAAAAAAAAAAAAAAAAAAAACCCCCCCCAAAAAAAAAAAAAAAAAAAAAAAAAAAAATTAAGAAAAGGGACAATATTATAATAATAATAATATATATATTCAATAATATATCATCCAACCTTGGGGCTATTAACTGGGGAGCTAGCAGTGTCTTCTAAAGAATCGTCTTGAGAAATCTCTTTGGCTCTTGTTTTCTTGAAACTCAGCTTTTTTGGAGTCTCGTGATGATGATGTTGAGGAGAGTTTTTTCTTCTGGTGGGAGATAATTTCCATGCAGCGTAAGAAGCAGCATCAGAAACCAAAGAAGAGCTAATATTTGTACAGAAACTTTCTTCAACAATATTATCATCTTCATCATCATCCGCATTATTGTTGTTGTTGTCGTTATTAATATTGTTGGAGAAATCTTGAAAATAAGCTGTCCAACCACTCTCTTCAGCACTGCAATTATCCTCTGCGGCCGGTTTACGAGCAACCGGTTTTCCCATGGATGAGCTATAAGAGTAGTTCTCCATCAATAATATCAATCAAGGAATGGAGAAAGAAGAAAGAAGAAGAAGAAGAAGAAGAGAAGAGAGAGATAAAAAAAAATATTAAAGGGTGTTTGTTTAATTTCTAAAGAGTGGTTTTATAACTGAAGGATGATGAACAAGGAATGAAGAAAAAGGGCACCCATAATTGTAGAATCTGGAAGTGGGTCCCAGGGTTTAGAGTTGTGGAAGTTAAAACCCGCCGTTGCAACAGAAAACCAAGGCTCATATAGAGAGAGAGAGAGAGAGAGAGAGAGAGAGAGAGAGAGAGAGAGAGAGAGAGAGAGAGAGAGAGAGACGTGCAGAGAAAAATATAAATAATAGAGATTAATAGAGGGAGATAGGGGGGGTTGACCTTTTTGGTTCCAAATGGGATTTTAACACGACATTAGGAGCCATTTTCTATGTTAGGACTCACCATTCAACCAATTACAATAAATGAGTGAAATTCAGCGGTAAGGTAGACCTGATTCCATTGCTTATTGTTATTAGTGTGAAAATATTTTTAAAGATAACAATACTTTTGATTATTTTATAACATAAGCAATTACCATGAGTATTGTCTATAATTACTATAATCAATAAAAGAATCTGATGTGATAGTACTGATTTAAAAAAGTCAAATTATGTGTTATTTTTTAAATTTTTTTATTTTTTTGAAAATTTTAATGTAGAAATTGCCATTTTCTCTTACCTGTAAACATTATTATTTTAGATATTCAATTAATTATTTAACGATTTAACTTATGATTGGAACGATTTTGTATCCACATATCAATCCGGTTGAAAAATTAATCCAAAGATTAAATATTACAGTTTCTATTCGTAAGAAAAAAAAAGGATAATTTCTATTATAGAAGTACCATTATTTCTTTGATTAATTACATATATGTCTATTATGCAATAGATGAAAAAAAAAAAAAAAAAGAATGTCTCATAAGTTGTGATATCTGTACATGAGTCTGTAAAATAATCTGTAATGACATTTCTATTCTTTGTTAACCGCCTTTAAAGTTAGTTATACAAATTCATAACCATCCACACAAAAAATAATATATTTAAAATGATGTTATCTGAATGACCATAAAATAGATAGATGGATAAGATGGTTTAATAAAAGAGATATATATATTTTAAACATGGAGTTAAAAAATGATCATTTCATGTAATTTTTAGTGCTAAAATTGACCCTATTATTGTTAGGTCCCAATCCATACAGGGCCTCAAGAGAGAGAGAGTGAAGGGAGCCCAAATATTGAATAGAGGATTGTTAGTTTTGTATTGGGGGTTAGGTTAGGTTAATAAAGTGATCCGAACACAACCATGTTCGTTATGAGACGTTTGGTTCATGGATTCAGAATCATTCTCATTCTATGTGTGTTTTTTATGAGAGAATATACTGTAACAAGTCACGAACCATTATTCGAATTAGGGCACGAATCCCCTTTCCAAACGTCCCCGAAATGTCTTCGATCTTCAATGGAGGTGAAAGCCTATCTACCAAGTCAAGTGCGTATCTTTTTGGAATCGGTATCGCAAATGCTGAATCTTTAGTTTGGTTTACTCCTTAAGAATATAGATTGAGTTTCAAGTATTATATATAATTCTAACTTCATTGTTGTGCTCCACTAGCAGATATTGAAGCCTATATAATTCATTTGACCCTGGCTAACGTTCTTGAACCAAATCATCCTAGAAAATATATTTTGCCATTAAAAACCTTTTATAACAAGACTAATGAATATTTCTAGTTAACTCTCTTGAACTTCAGCTAGTACTTGAGATCTTTAGAACAAATATTATGTCGTTTTCATTAAATCACGCCATATATATCCAGAATTCTGAAGTCAATAGCGACTCCGTTGACTCTACTGTAGCCAATCAGATGAAACTGATCATTTCATCTTGCTGTGGGGAAATTGTATCTTTTTTTTTTCTTTTCCTCCTTCCGTATCCTTCTTCTTGTTTGTGTGTTTATCCTAAGAGTTTCAGATCATATGTCCAATTTTTAATATCTCAAATAGTGTTTAACCAACTATGTTATGTATGATGCAACATATAAGATTAAATGTTAAAGTAAAGAAAAAAATCAGTTAAAAAGTATTTTGTTTTTTTAAAAAAAAATATATATATTATAATGAAATTGATTGACAATATTTGGGAATCAAAATTTTACGGGATATCTAGTCCATATTTAAATGTAATTATTAATGCAAACAACAACTTGCGAAAAAAAAAAAAAAGGTTATATTCTCTGCTTATGAGTTAGAGAATACTATGTTCATTACGATTCTTATTTGAGCCAAAATTTCAGATAAATCTCTATTTTAACACTTTTTGAATAACCTGCTAGCTCTTTTCTTTTTTTTTTCTTTTTTTTTTTTCCCCTTTTCATTACTCTACCATAATCTAATGTTTGTAAACATAAGATTTGGTCATATATTTGTAGGGTAATTTTTCATACCCTACGACAAAAATATCATTTTTCCATCAGTTTCAAGACAATGCTATTTGGTGTAATTTCTGTTGTCTGAAAACAATGTGTAGTTTGTTCGTTTGTTACCAACAAATAATAAAAAATCATTTTGGGACAAGTCAAAAAATGGATAATTGATGGAGGTTCCTTAAATAAGGACAACAACTAATTATACTTTTTTTTTTTTCATCGGTTTTTGATACTTATACTTTTCCACAACTCTCTCTCACTCTTAATTTCTCTCCTTCCATACACATCCATTATAGCGACGGTTTTGAGTAACATTCACACTCCACGAGCATAAACATTAAAATTTTTGAGATCATCGACGACGATTATGGAGGCCTGAAGCGCCATGAGACGCCTAGAAAAGGCGTACTGAGGCCGAAATCGACGATGAAGGTTGTTGACGGTGAATTTTTGTCAACAAAAACAAGCCGGATTACCTCCAAGTTTTCCGTCAGGTTACTGACTTTAATTGAAATTATATGTGAAAGTTTAGGTATAGGTTATGTGTAAGAATTTGATGTGCTTGTGGTATTCTTTGTGCAGTAAGCAATACAAGAAAAAATACTTAAAGTAAGAAAACACACAAGATTTATAGTGGTTCACTCTTATAAAATGAAGAGCTACATCCACTGTGGTTTGTTATTCCTTCTTGAGAATGTTACAATTTACAATATGCTCTTTCGTTCTCGTTCTCTTGGAAAAGATCAACCTCCTTTCCGCATGAGGTTCCTCTCCCTTTATAGCTGAGCTTCCTTCGTTGGAGGGGTTTCCTCTGGTAGGCTGAATAGGCACTCAAGTGATATGCCTTTCTAGGCCCAGCCCGTAGCCCACTAATCACTTCTTGCACACTATTCACTCAGTCAATTAGTCTCCTATTACGGTTCTGTGCACAGCTGTAACCCTTTTCTGTCCCCTGTAGGGGCGGTTTAAGAGTTTGCATTTAATGCCTGTACTGCGGACATCCCTTACGCAGATTGCCACGTCAAGCTTTCCCCCAAGGAGCATTTCCCTCGTCGCCAGTGGTGTTTAGCCCAATTGTTCTTCTAGGCGGTAGATTTCTACGTTGTAAGGTCGACAGTACGACCTGTCGAAACGCTCCAAGTCGGGCCTCTTACTCGGGCTCCCCTCGCCGGGAGGGAAGGGGGTCCCAGACGTCGAGGGTTGTTGCTTTGCGAGGAGAGGTTGAGGCCACGTGTCATGTTGTCCTCCCTCCACGTGTCCGCCATATTTTCCCCCATAACAAAGGTCATTGTAGAAATTGACGATCCGACATCCTCCTTCAACAATCTTTCAGCGATATTAATTTGAGAACTACTCATTGTCATAGACATGGTCCATGGCGAAGTATATCTTGGGTTTAGATGCCATAACCTCATGGAGGGAGAAATACAAAGAGAGATTTCCAAAAATAAGCTACGATTTGAGTTAGAGTTGCAAAAAAAAAAAAAAAAATGTTGATAAAAAGGTGGATAGTGTAGTAGTCAAGTGACACAAACAAAGCACCAAATTAACCTGTAATACAATTTGCAATTTAGGGACATATTCTAAGTTTCCCTTTCATATATGGCTGTTTATTTCGAAGACACTTTTGTTGGCCTGTGGAATTGCTTGGACAAAAGCCCAAGCGACGAATCATGACCTTGGGCCAATAGGTGACCACAACAAGCAGAAAAACAAAAAACAAAAACAAAAAAACGAAAAACAAAAAACAAAAGAGAGAGACAAACAGACAGACAATTACATTACATTACGACCTCGTTCATTTCACCGATTTGAATTTTCAATTTTAAGTTTCTACAGTAAAAAGCTCTCAGAAAATATCACATTAACTTTTTGTGCTACAGTGAAAAGCTCTCAGAAAATGTCACATCTCAACTCGAATTAAAAATTCGAATCCGCGAAGTGAACGAGGCATACGTGGTAAAATTCTACAGTTTAAGTTGAAATTTAGTACAAATTTTTAAAATATTACAAAAATAGCAAAAATAAGATAGTAATTAATAATGATATTACATTTTTCATTATATATATATATATATCAAATTTTGTTATTCTTGTAACATTTCAAAAATTATGTTATAAATAAGGTTCACTATTTAATTTTTGTTATATGTGGAGCCCAAAAAAAAGACAAAATTCAAGAGCTTTTGGATAATTATATAAATAATACACATATATACGTGTGTTTATAGTCTCTTTTCTTTTTTAGGATAAGGGTAGCCTTTAGTTTTGACATAAAATTATTTTCTCTGCCGATCACGTCCAAAAACAAAAATGAAAGTTAGCAGAGAAATTGTTAACATCCGCATATCTCATTCGCTCTAGCCAAACCACAGAAAATAGAACATATAGAGAAACAAATATCCTATAATTAATCTGGTTTGGTCCCACTTTGTAGCTTGAATTTTCTTTGTCCTATCTAGCTAATATTCGCAATTATGCATTAAATTACATTTCCTTAAAGCCGAACAGTGCCTTTTAATTACATGATCTACACATTTAATGCTTACGAAAATGAAAATAAAGATTTATGCAGAAGCCCTTTCTTCATTTAAGC